GGCTGCAGCAGCAGTGTACATGGTATGAAGTGTCATGGGTGGTGTGGGTGAGTTCCTTGACTTTGGGTTGCACCAGGGCATGCTCAAATTGTCTACTGTACATGGTTCTCTCACCCAGCAACTGCGGAGAACTTCATTCCCTGTTTGTTGAAATGGCGATGGGTGCTTGTAAGAGACTTGCAGAGATTTTCAGAGCTTCCTTGATCAGGTTTGAAGTACTGCACTGATATGTGTTTTGTAAAAATGCTTAGCCAGGAGCTTTTTCTTTTAGCAGGTCCACGTTTTAGACATCCGTCTCTGTCTCACCCTGACCGCCTGCACTGCAATGCCTCCTGTAGCTCGGAATTAATAATTGCCTCTGCTCTGTTTTACAGCAGGGTTACCATCCGTTGCCTCATGAAGCTGAAATCGCACATACCAAAAAGCTGTTCAGAAGGAGGAGAAATGACCGGAGGTAGGTGGAACATCTCTTTGAATATATTGTTTTTATCTTCTCTTCCTCGCTGCACATCAGTCTCCTGGAATGTCTTTGGACAATGTTAACCTTTAGCAGTTGGCACTGCTGGGTAGGTTCATAATCCTTTATCTGAGCATTAATGCTCTGGAACTGCGATGTTTGTCCATCCCATGAGTTGGTCTTTAAAATCTGGGCTGTGTTCTATATTGCTTGAAAATGGAGACCATTCTGCAACCTGGGGCTACATCACTTCGGGGGAACCTGGAGCAATCCTAATGTCCAGCTGTCCTTGTGCCAGATCCCCCACTTTGATGGGAAGAGGCAACTGGCAAGATATTTCCCATAAAGGCTTTGAGTTCCAGGAATTTACTTTCTCTCCTTTGGTTAAAAAATGCAATTTTCTGGCTTTTGGTGTCTGCTGCAAAATATGTTTGGTTGCAACGGGTTGGCAGTAAGGATCGGACCTTTCTATGGGAGAGAGTCTGCGTGCTAAATAACCAGCCAGCTGAGCTGCTGGGTGGATTGGGTGATTTTAAATCTACTGAGTTAATTTAATTGTGCAAATTGTGTATTTAATTGGATAACTTGCACATTTAATTATATGAGGGCATCTAGATTCCTGCATAGGAATTGTGCTTGTGGTTAAATTTGAACATAAGTGAGGAATCAGACAGGCAATTGCACGTGTAGCTCTCCTCTGCATGCATGTTCTTAAGCTGCGCCTGAGGCTGCAAAGCCAAGACACTAAGGCCTGTCTGAGACCAGGAGCTTGCAGGGTTAATGTAATTTAACCAGAAAAAGAGTGGCAATGTGTTCTTCAAGGATAAACTGAAAACTGGGTGCCTGAGCTCTGATGCCTCACTGGGACCTCATTTTTCAAAGCGGTCTTGCAAAGAGTTGCCCAGGAACCATGGGTTTGCATCCCAGAATCACAGGGCCATCACTTCTTGAAGCACAAACGGCTTCCAAAAAGCCATGATACAGTTAACTCTGCTTTGGTTTTCCTGAGTTTGAGCAACTGAAAAACATCTGAAAGAAGTTTGCTGTGATGCTCAAGCAACATTCTTCTGTGGGCAGAGAGCAGGCATGGCAAGCTGGTCCCCACTGCGAATTTCCCCCCAGGCTTAGAGCAAAACTCTGTTTTTCAGTTTAATGTGTCATTTCTGTAATTTGGATAGTTATGATGTAGTACTTGATCACAAGCCTCTGTCTGGTTTCACTTGCTTTCATGTCACCATCCTTGAGGGTTTTACAGTTTCTTTGGTTTAAGTCTAACGGTCTCGTGGGGGTAAATAAGACAAAGTGCCAAAAATGGAGGGCGTTTGAGTAATCCCTCCAGAATACGCTCACTAAGGTGCTATTATGCTGCTATTGTGAAGTGGTGATGGCAAGCCAGGAAGAAAATCAGACGGGGCTGGTGTTGGCTATCGATCATGCGTCTGTGGCCTTGTGGTTAGTCAGCGACAAATTCCATTTCCACTCCTCTTTTGGGCTCCTTTCTTTTTCCCTGTACCCAATTTAAAACACAATTTGGTCTTGTGATTTAGGGGGGGAAAAAAAATCCCTCATTTCAGCTGGATTGCAGCCCTGTGATCGCAGGAACACGCTTAAAAGCAAGTTTCGTTCTGTGTTGCAAGCTGGGGTTGGGTGAGGTTCATCAGAGCGCAGCTCGAGTCTTCAGTGCTTCATGAATTGCAGCGTGGACTGGACCTTAGTCTTCCCACCCTGTCTCCCCCTGCTCAAAATGGATCTTTATTGGCCATCTGAAGGCAGTATGTCTTTGAGCTGAAGGGGAAGAAGCAAGCAGAGCAGCAGGATCTCCTGTCTCATGCTTCGAGCAAGTGGAAATTGAGCATCATGACCAGCTGCAGCCCGACTTGCAACACGCAGACATGGTGCTTGGAATCATTATGCCTGGAAAAGACCTTCAAGATTATCAAGCCCAAGGGCGCTCCATGCCCAGGCACCCCTTCTAAGCCAATGATGGGCTCACGTGTCATGGCCCTGTCCCACGACAGGCATCGGGTCTGTCTCCACCATGTGTTGCTTTGCTGGTGTGAGTGATGAACGCTTCATGGCAGTGAGGACCTGCTGTCCAGGTGAGGCTCGCACAGCTCTGCTGAAAGTCACAAAGCTGCTAGGAAACCCAGGAAACAAATGTTCTTTTGAGGCAGGCTGACACAACTTGCTAGAGCCTCAGCTCATGGAAATGCGGATGATTGCACATAAGTGCTTTTATCCCAGCTGAAAAACCAGTCCACTTCACAGCTGTGAGGATCACGCTAGATGGATTTCTTCTGCTTCCCAGTCTGTTCAGATTACCACGACAAACTGCCAGCAGCCAGATCTTTTGGAGTTCAACATGTAGAGAGCAAAATGTTTGAACCACGAAAGCTTAAGAACCCTGGGCAGAGAGAGCTGGAGTGAAACAGCAGGTTCTTTTAAACAGAAATTCACACTGAAAAGACCTGGCCCCATGCTCCAAACCTTGTCTGGGAGACCCCGACAGCCCCCGCTCCATAGGGTTTGATGGATGACATTAAATCTAAGCAGCCCAAGTGCTCGGGATCCCCACTGCTCCGCAGCGCGTTTGGGAACTGAATGGCAACTCGGGCTGCCTGTCGCTCCGGTGCCACATGAGATGCCCCAGGAGAGTCCTCGCACTTTAAAATTGATTTCTAGCAGCCAGTGAGGTCTCTAAATGGTTATTTTATGTGAAGGGCGAGGGGGGGAAGCACACAGCAGAGCGGGAATAGGGGAAAATAATAAAAAAAAAAGTCTTGCTGAACAAGACTAGTTTGCACTTTAAATGCCAGATTGTGTTGGAACACAAACTGGTTGCAAAGCTGTTGGCGCTTTATTGCGCTATTATCTTAATATCCCCGGCATTGTGTTAGCAGAGCAAGGATTCATTTCATAGCTGGTGGAGCTGCACAGGTGGTATAAATATCTGTGTGCCGTAGGAGCAGCGGAGGAGAGATTTTATTGCCAGTGAAACAGTTGGGAGTTACAGGCCTTTGTTTTAGACTTTGTCTGGATATGGAAAGCCATGAAATTGCAAAACCAAGCCCAGGGTGCTGTGCCAGACCCATCGCCGGCCAGCTTGAGAAAGTTAGCTGATTAGCTGAGAAAAATGTGTCGTGCCCGTTCTGACGTTGTTTTTATGGGAGGGAAACTTTAAGAGTGCTGTAAAACACCCGGCAGCTCGTGGCCCCTGCGCCGAAGAGAGTCTCGAGGGTATTAGGCAGGATTTGCCCTGGGACATGGGAGCTGTGCTGCTAAAGCCAGAAATAAAAGCAAGGAGCTGAGCCCTGCTTAGGAGGCCGAGGAGGGCTGGGGGCGTGTTTGGGGAGCAAGTGTAAATATAGGAATGCAAGGGAAGAAGAGCCAGTTTCTTAGAAGAGGGTCAGTAGCAACAGGGTCACAGTCGTGAGGCTCAGAAGAAGCCAAGTCTTGGACTAGTGAAGAACCTTGTGTTTCTTGTGTGAAACGACATTCATGTCCAGCCAAGTTAAATGCAGCTCAAGTCCCCACTTTATTCCCGTCACCTTTCTTCTAGAAATGATGTATCCAAGCTACGTTTGAATTCATCTCACCTAGTTAGAGTTCCGCCATTCACTCTCCATCAACTGAGTTGTGAGTGAGTTGTCAAAAGTGCGTTAGCAGCAAAATTTTTGATAGCTCTTGTATTTTTTCATGGAAAAATCTGTTTCTTTGAAGAATGGCTGATGTTCCAAAGTATTTGATAGAGCATTAGAAATTTACGGACAATCCATCCTCTGCTGAAGCTTGGCCTTTCTTTCCAATAAAGGACAAAAGATGGAATGAAATATTAAATCCTTTCCTCTTGCCTTCGACTTAGTTTAATTACCTCCCCATTCTTATTTTCTCATGGAAAAATAAGAGGTTTCAAAATTATTCTATTTTTTTCTAATAGAATCTTTTTAAAAAAATCCCAAAGCAGGGTTCAGAAGTGCTGTCTTTCTGTCCTTGTTCCTGCACATACAACCGTAATTCTCTCATTGCACAAGGGAGCAGATTAAAGTTGACATTAAAACAGGCATTGAATTTCCCATTTAAAAAATAGTCAGTGTGGGTCTGTTTGGCAGATTTTCTATACCACAGGTCAGTGTTAGAGCACATCTGGTTAAGAGTTTAATTGTGGGAGGTTCTGTAAAGGAGATGACAAGGTCCTTGTTGCAAGGAGCTTGTAGGCAGGGAGGCAGAGCAAGGAGAAGCGTCGCTCTCCCCACCTCACACTCCACAAATCTCAATTTCTTGTGTTTTCTCTGTAGGTTTGAGTGTAGGTTTGGTAACTATTCACCTTCTTTATATAAAGATGCTGAGGAAAGGCATCGCCACTTGAGGATGTGGAAACTTCACAGGAAGTTTTTAAGAAGAGATTTTCACAAGCTGTGGTTTAGATTCAGTTACCCTGTCTTGAAGATTATAAAATGGCCTAGATGATTCTCAGGCTTCCCCTCCTGTCTATTTTCTATGATTCCTATATCCTGATGACAATTTAAAGAACATGTAGCATCTATTTTTCCCCCTTTTTAAAAGAGACTCTTCACCAACCAAGGCAGTAGCTAGAATTTCAGCTCAGCAGTGCCCTTTCTCAAGCTCATGAGTCCTCTTTTAGACTCCAGGCCACAAGATGGCAAGAATCAGATTTAGCTTGAAAGCCTTACTACTCTATATTTAACTGTCCACCTCTACATATGCACTTCTGGCCCATCACTACCATGGTTTGAGTAAGTGACAGGTTTTCAAGGAGTTCCCTCTTGAGAATGGGTAGGTGGGACGCGTGGACTTTGGTGGAACTTCAGTTGGTTTCTCAAAGCAAGATCAAGACAACTAAGTTTCCATCAGTTCTTCATCTTCTGATTAACGGAACACAGAAATTAATCTGGGTCAGTTGGGGAGGGGGAGAGATTTACTGAGGGACCAGGAAAAGTGTGCTGATTTGCTTTCCAAAAGGAAGTCTTCTTATGTGT